TTCAATTGCTGTGATTAAAAACACTGACCAAAAGCAACTTGGGAAGAAAAGGGTTTATTTATCTTACATCTCCTGGGACGCAGTTCATCAGGGGGCCCAAGTTTGGAACTTGGGGCAGGTACCTGGAGGTAGGAGCTGAAGCAGAGGCCATGGAGGGATGCTGCTTACTGGCTTGTTCCCTGGGCCTGTACTCATCCTGCTTTCTTGTACGATACAGGACCACCTTCCCAGAGGTGGCACCACCCATAGTGCACTGTGCCCTCCCACATCACTCAACAATCAAGAAAATGGCCCATGGACATGGTCATAGGCCAGTACAGTGAAGGAAATTCCTCAGTTGAGGCGCCCTCTACCCAGATGTGTCAGGATGACAACTAAAACTATCCAGCACATTGAGGTATAATTTACATATCGTGAAAGGAGGTTACGGGTTACTTGTACTGATATTTTGCATGAATATGTGAAACTGTTATGCTAGTAACTATAAAAATGGAAGTGTTAAGTGTTAATAGACATTATTTAATTTTATTCTCTCAATATTCTTTCCTTGTTGCTTGGTACGAGGGATTGAACTCAGGGCCTCATACATGCTAGAGAGGTCCTCTCTCTCTGAGCTGTCTCCAGTTTTTTCTTTTCTTTTTTTTTTTTTTTTTTTTTTGAAACAGATCTTACTGAGTTTCCAGGCTGGACTTGAACTCATTCTGTAGCCCAGGCAAGTCTTGAGTTTTAGTTTTAGTTTTATTTATGTGTGTGTATGTGTGTGGTGGTTTGATTGAAAATGTCCCCGATAGGTTCCAAGTATTTGGACATGTGGCTCTGTTTCAGGAGGTCTTAGAAGGTGGGCCATGCTGGAGGAAGCCCGTCACTGGGGGTGGGCCTAGAGAGTTCTTAAGCCTTTCTGGATCTTGAGCTGCTCTCTTGCTTCCTGTACCTGCTTGAAGATGTGAGCTCTCTGCTTTCTGCTCCTGTTCTAGCCACCTCTGCCACCAGTCCTCCCCACCATGATGGACTGTAATTCCCCTGGAACCATAAGCTCAAATAAACTCTTCCTTCTATAAGTTGCTTTGGTCAGTGTTTCTGTCACAGCCTCAGAAAAGTAACTAATGCAATGTGAATATATGGTACACATGTTGGATCCTTTGGGGCTGGAGTTACAGGTGGTTTTGAGTTTACCCATGTGGGTGCTGGGAACTAACGAGCTCTCTAGAAGAACAGTAAATAGCACCCTTAGCTGCTGAGCCATCTCTCCAACCTTGATCCTTGAATTGCTTCTCCTTCCTCAGCCTCCAAAGTCCCTGGGATGTCACTAAGCACACTGAATAGTCTCAGAAAGTAGGTTTTACTTTCTTAATAGGGACCGAGGGCAAACCTGACATATTGTGAAGGACTGCCTTACACCATGTGGCTGATAAGGATCTGTGTTTTAAACCTAGGTCCCTGATCCACCAAAACCAGTAGTTGAAGCTTCTGCTTTGTGTGATGCCATTCTGTGAAGTGTGCCCCACAGCAGGCAGAAGCTCCATTCATCTCAGTTAGAGAACAGCTTGGGCCACTTCCTGAAATGCTGAAGAAGTAACTGACTTTTTTAAGCCCAAGAAGGGAAGAAAAAACGCTGTAGATAATTAATCTCTCACAAGTTACACAAGAAAGTGAAGATGTCTGTAAAGTTAATTGAGTGTTTGGGGTTTATTTTATAATGTCAGATCTGGGATGCATGAACTCTATCACATCTGTTTTCTTCCGTCTGAGTTTCATTCCAAGGTAGAGAGACTAGATTTGTAGCTCTCTCTCTCTCTCTCTCTCTCTCTCTCTCTCTCTCTCTCTCTCTGTATATGTTTATATCTAATATGTACATGTGTGGGAGTACCTGTGGAGATCAGAAGAGGACATCAGTTCCCCTGGAACTGGAGTTCCAGATGGTTGTTAGTCGAGGTGTAGGCACTGGGAACCAAACCTAGGTCCTCTGCAAGAGCACTCAGTACTCTTAACCACCAAGCCTTCTCTCACTTTTTGAGACAGGATCTCATGTATCCAAGTCTGGCCTTGGACTCCTTATATAGCTGAGGATAACCTTGAACTGCTAATTCTCCTGCCTCCACCTCATGAGTGCTGGCATTACAGTCATGAGCCACCATGCTTGTTTTTATGTGGTACTGGGGATCACACCCAGGGCATGCTAGGTAAGCACTCTAGTGACTGATCTACCTTCAGTCCCTAACTATAGATTTTAAGAAGTATTTTTTTTTGTGTGTGTATATGTATCTGCGTATGCTGTGTGCGTGTATGTGCGTGTGTGTGTGTGTCTGTGTGTGTGTGTGTGTGTGTGCCCTCAGAGGGCAGAAGAGGGCATCAGATCCCTTGGAGCTTGAGTTAGAGGGGATTGTGAGCTGTCTGATGACTTAACCAAACTTGAGTCCTCTGGAGGAACAGCAAACACTCTTAACCATTGAGCCATCTGTCCATTCCCTGACTATAGATTTTTGAATGTGGAGGCAGGGACATAGGTTACCACAGTCTCAAGTTTCTTTGATGAATCTTCAACCTCATTTGGCTTTCTAGACAAGTGCATGTAGGTACCATATGGGCAGCTTTGCTGGACCTGGTCTTAATGAGCACATCTAGAGCCCACATTTCCCTCATGGCAAAGTTCCAGATCTCGAAAGGGCCCAAGCAGCATGTTTTATGATGTCCACTCCATGGGTACAATTGCAACTATTGCTCATAGATTCTTGCCTCACCATTTTGGTGGCAGGATGGCCCCTCTTTTTTTCCTCTCTCTCTTCTTTGCGGGAGTCATTCTTTACAGCCTACATTGGAAAGGAAGGGCACAAGGGATTCTTGTTGGTCTTTTTTTGTTCTACTCGGCACTGGTATTCTGACCTATCTTGCCTGCTTACCTGTGTGATGAACCTGTTTCTCCACCACAGACATCACCCCCATCATCTTATTGTCAGACTCAGTGACAGCGACCCTCCAACAATCTAGATGTTTGGGGTGAGGCTACAGAGACATTTAGATGGAACCCTGAGTTCCATTAAGCTTGGCACATGCCTTCTGGAATTTTCTTCTGATTCCTCCCTAGGCCAGCTCAGCATCTGACAGAGGCTGCTGATGCCTGACCCCAGCATTTGGGATGTTGCCTTCTCCTCTTGGCAGCCTGTCTTGGTGGTATCTTCCATCTTCCTTAGGTCCTGTTACTTGGCAGGTACCTGTTACCTTCTGTTGGTACTCTGCCTCTTCCTTAACATGGAAGCCTTAAATTCCCTGAGTCTTATACTCTATCAGTAACAAGCAAGCAAAGAAGTGCAGGAAAATAATGTGTGTATGTGTCTGTGTGCATGTGTATGCATCCCAATTTGCTTCCTGTTGAATCTGATAAACACCACTGCCAAAAGAGACTTAGGGGAGGAAAGGGTTTATTTATACAGTTCCTCATCAAGGGAAGTTTGGGCAGGAACTCAAGCTAGGAACCTAGAGGCAGGGATTGAAGCAGAGACTGTGGAGGAAACCTGTTTACTGGTTTGCTTCTCCCTGCTTACTCAGTTACCTTTTATACAGTCCAGGCCCACCTGCCCAGGAGCGACTCTGCTCATAGTTCCTGGGCCCTCCCACATCAATCAGCAATTAAGAACATGCCTCAGAGACCTGCCCGCAGGCCAGTTTGATGGAAGAAATTCTTCATTTGAGGTTCCTTTCTCCCAGGTGTGTCAAGTTGACAATTAAAGCCAATTATGACAGCGTGTGTGTGCACACGTGTGTGGGTGCATGCTTATATGTGTGCACATATGCATGGGGATCAGAGGTCAACATTGAGTGTCATTCCTGAGAAGCTGCTCGCTTTGGTTTTTTGAGGCAGAGCCTCTTCACTGGAACCTGGGGTTCACTGATAGTCTAGCCAGGTGGGGTCAGTGAACTCCAAGGATCCACCTGTTTCCACTTCTCCAGGGCTGGGATTACAAGCAAGTACCACCATATCCTGCTTTTTACATGGGTGCTAGCAATCCAGCTCAGATCCTCATGTGTGGGGGGCAAGCACTATACCAACTGAACTCTCTCCCCAACCCTAAAAATAGGAAAAACTTTTATTTCATAGAAGTAGCATGTTTAGAAACCAGGAAAACGTGTTCTTCCATAAAAAGTGGTGTGCTCTGAGTTAGTTCCCTTCACACGCATCACCTCATGCCAGGGTTTCTTCCTGGTGCTGTTGACACTTTTGCATGGATGTCCTCTGCTGTGAGGGGATGGACTCTCCTGAGCCTGTGAGGTGTTCTGCAACTTCTCTATCTAGTACCCACTAGCGGGTAGTGACTGCCAAAAGAGCCCGAGGACTTTGCTAAGTGCTCCCAGACACGGAAGAGTCATCCTGGTGACAATCCTGTTAGGTAAGCGTTGTCTCTAGTTTTCAAGATGAAAGGACTGGACCCCAGAGAGATGAAATGGCTACGTGACTAGGCAGGACAGAAATGAGACCTGAAGCCATCTCCTTAAGTTTGGCTCTTCCTTCCAGGCGCCCTTCTCTGTCTCCTTTCTACCCCCAGCTGCTGGGAAATGGTGTTCCAGCACTTCCCAGAGAAGCAAGCTGGTGGGGTTGTTCTGCACTTGAAATTTTACTCCTGGGAAAAGCCCCACTCTCTTTGCCAGATGCATGACAGTCTATCCATCATGTATCTGAGTCTCCCCAGGCTTCATCCAAGGAGGAATGCAGATAAAAGTTGTGAGAGGCTCTAAAAGCAAGGCTTGGTGCTTTCTCAGTCCTACTTCACCAAGCTGCTCGGGGACTCTAGAGTTTGTAACCACGGACCCCCCTGCAAGATTCTGCATCTGTCTGAGAAGAGCCATACCTGAGTTTTGTATATGTTGCTGAGTTTTATTACCTTGTGCTGCATTGACACAGTGAAGGAGAGAATGGGAGTGTGGTTGTGTCATGTTGAAGGCTGACAGCTGGATGCCCTGTGCCAGGCCAGGCAGGGCTGTGACTTCCAGGCCTTCTGGGCCTCCTCATGGGCTGCACCCACTCCACTGTGGTGCAAACCAACAGCCGTGCCTCCTCCTGCCTCATCCCACTGCGGTCAGATGCCGACAGAGGCTCCTGTGGAGTCCCTGGACCCTCGTCCTCTTCCAAGGTAAACTTAGAATGGGGCTGCACTGGGGAGTGGGGTGAAGGATGCATTGACTCTTCAGTTTGCTTTCAAGTGTCTGGCTGAGGAGGACACTTTTCTGTCTTGGGACTTCTGGTCACTGGTCAATGCCATGGAGTTAGTACTAACCTTATTATTTCTATGCCAAGTCATATGTGGGCATATGGTGCTAGGGGGGCAATTCAGATTTGGAAGTCAAGAAATGTGAGTGAATTTATGCATCCACCATGAAAAAAGAAGACAAAAACTATGATCCTTTTCTTTTCAAAAACCTTTTCTTGTTCTTGAGTCTATTAGAGTAACCCACACATGCATTTCTTCACATATGTGCATGTATACATTACATGCTAGGATCCACATTTGAGGGAAAACATGCAGTTTTTGACTTTCTGAGATTGGGTGGCCTCACTTGCTATTCAATGTTTTGCACATCGAAGTAGCAGGAATCATTTGTTTTCCATAAGAGTCCAATAAGTTCTGTCCCTTTCAGGCAGTGACTGTGAGAACCGAGCTTTCTTTCTGATTCCACTGACCATTAGCGCAGTGGAAACTGCACAGAACTGGACACTGAGTGCATGTTTTGCAGTGACTCACTTGGAAAAAGTGATTTGTTTTGTTGTTAATGTTTGCTTCAGCTCTGTGCCCTGTGTTTGGATGCTTTTAAAAAGAGTTCTCATTGTTGGAAGTTCTTAAGTAAAACTGTTTAAATTTTAAAAGAAGAGAGGGAGAAATGTGTATGAGCTGGGAGTGGTGCTGTATGTCTATTTATCTGTACTCCTGGCACATGGGAGGCAGAGACTGCAGGATTACCCCCAGTTCAAGACCAGATGGTTTACATAGCAAGTTCCAGGCTAGCCAGGGATATATAGAGAGGCCTGTCTCAAAAGGAAAGGAGGGAAGAAATGGAGGGAAGAAGGGAGGGAGGGAGAGAGGGAGGGAGGGAGGGAGGGAGGAAGAGAGGAGGGAAAAACCTTGAGTATTCTTTTCCATTCTACCATTGTCCTTGAACTTGTCTCTAAGCCACACGGGGTAGAAGAAGGCTCCTTTCTTCTGGGCTCACTAACCTCACCACTTCACACCACAAGACAGCCTTTTCCAGGTTCAATTTCATTCCAGCAGTTTGCCGCTGCCCTCACTCTCCCCCAGGTTACATTTTATAGCTAACCTGGAACTCACTAGGTAAACTAGGTTGGTCATGAACGGGTGGTGATCCTCACAGTAGATCTGTCAGCTTGGGAGTGGTGACTCAGGCCTGTCATCCCAATTCAAGACCAGTTTGAGCCAGTTTTCTTTGGGGGCATCCCAATTTCTCCTCCCCCCTTCTTTTTTTCAGGATTTCCTTTTATTTAAACAAATTATTTTTATCATTTATATGTATGTGTGTGTATGTGTGTGTGTGTGTGTATGTGTGTGTGTGTGTGTATGTGTGTGTGTGTGTGTATGTGTGTGTGTGTGTGTATGTGTGTGTGTGTGTGTATGTGTGTGTGTGTGTGTATGTGTGTGTGTGTGTGTATGTGTGTGTGTGTGTGTATGTGTGTGTGTGTGTGTATGTGTGTGTGTGTGTGTATGTGTGTGTGTGTGTGTGTGTATGTGTGTGTGTGTATGTGTGTGTGTGTATGTGTGTGTATGCCCTTGGAAGCCAGAAGAGCGCATTAGATGCCCTGGAGCTTGAGTTACAGGTGGTTGTGCATCACCAACCTTGGGCACTGGGAACAGAACTCAGGTCCTCTGCGAGAGCAGCAAGCACTCTTAACAGCAGAGCTGTCTCTCCAGCCCTGGTATCTAGGTTTCTTATCTGTAAAGTGCATGAAGCATATTCCCTTTTCTCTAATCACAGAGATGTTGCGAGGTAAGTAAGTTGATACTTACAGAAAGGATTAGTCAAAGATGGCTATTAATATCATAATTATAATGATGACAAATGGGGTAATTGCAGCATTACCTGCGGAAGGTGCCACTGCCGACCTCTGTGCTCTTGTGTAAAGAGGAGGGATGCTCTTTCTGTCTTCTGCTTGCTTTAATCTACATGGGTAGAATTTCGAGTTGCTTTTCACAGTGCCAGAAGCTCTTTTCTGCCCACCCTGTTCTTTGCCTCTCTTTCCCTCTTTCTGAAGCAGCATTTTGGCTTTATATTTGTGTGTGTTTATTGTTTTCAAAAGAAGAGAAAGTGGACTATATTTTATATTTGTGATTTTAAAAATTTGTTTACTTATTTAGTGACTTTAATTTTATGTGTATGAGTGTTTTGCCTGCATGTATGTAAGTGCACCCATGTGGTGGAATGG